GATGTTCATATAGCTAGACTGACTGGAAATCCGTCCATTTATTTTCAGTGATCACAGAGTTTAGAACTTGTGTGCCAGTGAACCAAAGTAGATTCATTTTTGTTGCATCGAGGTTCTACTTTGGGGCTTGTGTTTTCTGAAGCACCCGTTTTTGATTGGTAATAAAAGGAAACGCTACTGTTCAACTCACTGGCCTTTACTCGCTGTACCGATGGTAGCCTCTCCACTAAGAAGCCAAGTTACACCAAAAGATGTGGCAAATGTCGGACTTTCTTGTCGGGGTTCTGCGCATACGCTGAACATGCAAACCCTCCCTGACTACATATGAGTTAGAAAATGTTTCATTCATTAAGCACTCCCTCAGTCTGACTGACCTTCATCAGGGAATACAATCTCCATGACTGCTGAAGGTCGAACAGCACAAGATCCAAGAGTGCACAAGTCCCTCCCTGCTCATTTTAATGGATAAATCAGATACAGTTTAACAGCCTGTGGACGCGTTATGACTGATATATTCATACAGTAAGAGATCACCAGCACGGGGCAGACCCGGCAGGGGGGGAAGAAAGACAGAAAATACAACTTCAGGCTCTTTTGTTTTTTTTTTTCAAACACTGTATTTTTTTTTTTTTTTTCATCGCCACATAACCATCAAAATGACATGTTTAGAGTTTAGAATGTTTTATTATAGTTTATTGTGATAGCATTTTCATTTTTTCTTTTTTTTAGGTTTTATTTTTTCCAAAGAACAAACACAGCAAATAACGTTGAGGGGGAGGAGGAGAGGCAGGAAGAAGAGGAGGGAAGAGCGAGAGAGGAGGGCCACATAGATAAGATAGATCAATCCATAGATAGATAGATAGATAGATAGATGCGTCAGGTTTGGCTTGATCCTCCCCCTGTAACCCCTCTGGGTCCACACACACACACACACACACGCACACACACACACACTACATGTTGCTTTACAAAGAATAATCATCATCAGAATAAGATTAATAACTGTCTGAATATATCTAGGAATTTAAAAAAACAAAACAAAAAAAAGAAAATGAAAGAAGAACACACTGCCGAGGAAAACAAGATTCACTCGCACTGCTGTGAAACCCAAAACAGTTATACAGTTAGCCTGGAGAGAAAACACAGCTAAGGTTAGATAGACGGGAATATAGATGTATGCATCGTCTGCATACGCAAACTGTACGCAGGTGGGGGGTGTGTGTGTGGAGGGTGATGGGAAGAAAATAACATTTAGATTCATCTCAAATGCCCCCAATTATAGACAAAAAAAAAATCCAAACTAGGCTTCTTTCTAAGGCTCAACCTAAGTGTGCATCTATGCATGTGACTAGTTAGTTAGTGGTACAACGCCTATCTGCAGATAAACGGGTCGTTCACTTTAGCAGCTGTCCAAATCTCTCAGGGTTAAGGCAGACAGCTGATTTCAGGTCAGATTAGAGGAGTTTTAATTCTCCCTCTTTTTTTTTTTTTTTCCTTGACAAAACACAGGTAAACACAATAATTTGGCATTAAAAATAGGTACAGGGCTATTGTTACCACACAGTCGGAGGAAAGAGAAGGAGAGGAGGGGAGGGGGAGTGAGAGGAAGGGGGTGAACGATAAGTAACCGAAGCAGTAAAATATGATCATAACAGTAAAATGGTGCCTATTACATCGGGGATCTCAAAGCAAAAAAAAACAAAACAAAAACATTGCAGCAGTCATCGATCAAGCTCTAAACAGTATACATTATATATATATCTGCCAGCTAATTCATGGTGGAAGTGTTGCTTAAAAAGGGAGACGCTTTGACATTTTCAGTTGGAGTCTGTTCTCCACCGGGGGACTTTCAATGCCTCTGCACGGTCCTGTTAACAGCCTGTTATCATTCATACTTGTCATTTAAAAGAAAGGGCACCAGCGGCCCTAATGCAGCAGGGCGGCTCAGTACCTTTGGGTTTAAATGAGACTTGTTAAAAATGCTAAAAAGGCTGTCTGAAGGCCCGTCTCTTTTTCCAGCCCCCAGTAAAGAAGTAACTTGAACAACATGCCAAGTTTCACCTTAAACAGCCAGAAAAAAAAAAAGCTACAGAAACCTAAAGAGCCATATATACACAGAAATGCGCCCGATAAATACAGTAAACAAAAAAAAAGTCTCCATTTCCGATCTATATCCGTCATATTATTTTTTTTAACTTCATAATGGCAGCCACCGCTCTCAACATCCCTCAACGTTTCAAGCTTTCTTTTGTGTCGTTCCGAAAAGGATCCATTTTCACACTCAACAGTTTGGTCTTTTTATTCTCTCCCCAGGCGATTTTAAAACACTTCTTAAGCCACAACCAGTTTTCTTTTTTTTTCTTTTTTTTGTTTTTAGTGTTCATTAAATACAAATCTTCTGCAAGTCAACAAAAAAACGGCACAAAGACCGGGAGACAACAGAATAACATGACGAGGAAAAAACTAATAAAAAAAACAAGGAAAGGACAGACGCAAAAAAAAAAAAAAAAAAACAAGATTTGCACATTTTCTTTCTTTTTTTATGGACAGAAAATACAGAGTGACTCGAAATGCCTCTCGCACCTCACAAACTGACATCCTGGAATACTTGTATCGTCCCTATACACACAGGCACAGCATGAAAACTGACTCAGCATGTAGAAACATGTCCTGCTATCAACATTGTCTTTAAAAACATGTACAGATGTGTGTATAGACACAACACAGCGCCTGGTTTATTCCACACAGTCAGCTGTAGAGAGTGTTTAATTTCTACTCCCCCAGTCCTGTCTCTATCTAGACAAAGTCAACCCACCGTTTGCCAAAGACAGTTGTTTGTTTTTTTGTGAGGTACTGCAATATCCCAACAACATGAATGAAGAGGAAATGCATAAATTAAACTGCTGGAATTGAACATTCCAGGAAGGGTGCGTTTTTTTTTTTCCTTCTTAAATAAAAAGCTTAAAATCTCTTCATCTAATCCAAAAAAAAAGAGGAAACTACAAAACTTCTGAATAAGGTGGTTAAATCTGCAGGTGATGCTGACTCTGTCCTGGTAAGACTGCAGGAAGTCGGGTTGACTTCTGGGGCCCCCAGACCCACAGAGAGAGAGAAGAAGAAGACACAGGGGGGGATGGATGTATGAAAGAATGGAGCAGTAAAGAGAGAGAGACGTTAACAAACTGTTAGTGAGCCTGGACAGTCCTGTAGAAACGCAAGGGAGGGTCGGAGAAGGCGAGGAGGGGGAGGGGGAGGAGGAGGAGGAGGAGGAGGAGGAAGGGCCGGGACCGGAGGAAGAGAAGGAGGAGGTTTGTTTTGGGGCTTCAGCAGCAGCCTCCTCCAGCCTGGTGGCCTCCCTGGCTACTGGGCAGTGTGGAGTTGGTGGTAGGATGCTGGGGTCCAATCTTAATACCATTAGCCTGTGAGGAGACAAACAGAAACAGGTTTGAATGAAGGTTCTCACAGCAGCACACAGGAGATCTGAACCAGCAGAGCTCCTCAAACTACAGAACTCCTCCCCCCTCAGCAGGAAGGGCAGCTCCAACACCAGATAACATCAGTATCAGTTGCAATATTGGCTAATATTTCACCATCATGTGTAATAATGTAGATTTATTCTCATGATGCGTCTTTTGGTTTTTTCTGAGCACAAGAATTTCCTTTGAGATCAAGAAAGTTTTAAAGTCCACCACTACACTGTTTGGTCAGCGAGTGGTTTTGTGTTGGTGGAGTTGATGCTGTTGTGACATCAAACCGAGGAAACATTGTGAACTATGGATTTTGGGTACTTAGACTCTGAAACACATAATTTCATTTCTTATTTTTATTTTTTTCACCTTATTTGATCCTCCATGACATCTCACAGAGAGATGTCTCAACGAGATATTTGACTTCATAAAACATTTTTAACAGTATGTCTAGCCTGAAGTCCCACAAAACAAATCAGACACAGATTTTAACCACAAACCACATTCGTTCCACAGAAGCTTTTGGCACAACTTAAATGTGACGTCAACAAAGGCAGGTACAAAATGATTTGCTCTACTTGTGGCTTGAAAAATCTAACTTAAAACATTGCTAACAGGGATCAAAAGATATGTTTCAAAAAAATAAAAAATACAGATACATACATCAACTATTAGTAATCAAGGATGCTGATAACCAACATTTAGAACCGATGCCCTTTGTTGAAATGCCGTTGTTTACGTATGTTTTATACATGCTTAATTAAAAAAGAACTTTAAGACATTTATCCCTCAGCGTTGACTGCAGGTTTAATCACCTGACATGTAACCAATCAGAACCAATCAGGTAGTGCTGTGGGCAGGACCACAGAGTGACTATAAACACAGAGACGCAGCTGCATCAGAGCAAAATGTAATCTGTTTTTAACTGATTTATTTGTATCTGGAATCTTTTTTTTTTTTTTTTTTATATATATTTTTTTGGTCTCTTTGCCTTTATTTAGAGCAGTAGAGATAGACAGGAAAGGGGGAGAAGAATGGGGAGAGACCTGCAGCAAAGGGTCGTGAGTGGTAGTCGAACCCACAGCCGCTGCATCTGGGAACTCCAGCCCCTGTTCATGGGTCACCCGCTCAGCTAGGGGAGCTATAGCTATAGCTGATTCCAGATATATAAACTGGAATCAGTTTTTAAAAACATATCAAAACTCCGGTCCGACAATCAACAGGGTTGATAACTGGTCGATTCCTATGAGTTCATTTACATGCAGGAAACATGTGGCGCCGTGGTGCTGCAGCCTCGGCAGACCTGCACTACGTCAGCTACAACTAGCCAGCATCCTGCATAATGATGTAGTAATTACTGCATTATTACATGACTTCTCTGTGTTTAAATCACACCATCATTTTGATATAACCTACCCCTCTGTGAAGTACTGTGATGCCATCCCGTTGACAAAACCTCATTATATCTAGACAGACAGCTGGAGACCAAATTCACCATCAAGGCTGGTAACGGCTTCACTGTAATCACTGCAAACAGTGAATTCACTTGAAGGGTTGTCGGAAATCCACACACAGCTTTACTGTAGTTACACAAATTTGCTCTGTAGACCAAGAGCACAACACGTCAACAGTGCAGGACTCTGAGGTTGGAGAGCCGGGGGTCCAAATAGATGAAGCTCTCATATTAGCTCTGCTCGACTTTTACACACCCGTGCTGGGCCGCAACATAAACTGCCTCCTAAAAACAGCTGGATGTGAACTGAGCCACAGAGAGTCAGACTTTTCCACTGAAATAATCGGGCTGTTGCCTCCACTGGTTCTCCCAGACTTTGGGAGATATTTCCTAAATCTATATGGTCTCTGCTCCGAGGTGATGCTGAGTCCAGATACTCTCAGGGGGAAGGAATGCAACAGCTGGCGTGCAACAAAGTAAACAGCACAGTTAATAATACAGGACGTGTGTTTATATAAGCGTCGCAAGGAAGCTTATTTCAATATAAAGGCGATGTACAGATTTGGAATGTGCTCCGCATGTGTGCTTTGCTGCCTTATTGTATAAACTGTGGATTGTTTGCATGCTGTTACATAAGACTTCATTTATGTTTCCCACTAACTTTTCCAAATGTATGTTTTCAGAAGGAAGCCTCTTTTTTTTTTTCCGCTCCACTAAATAGTAAAGCTGCTGTATTTTCTCTTGAAGGAAAAATGAAAAAATAATCATTCTAAATAATGAATCATGCGGAATAATCCAAGAGCCAGTACACTAGAGAGACCAGACACCTATTAAATGCAAGACATGATAAAGGCTTTGGTCTGCTGTGTGGTCTGTAAAAAACCATTGCTTTCTATTGGTTTGATCTGGAGTGTTTTCAACAATTTACTGAGATTTTAACATATAGATATTAAATAGTAAGTCATGGGGGGAAAAAAGTATGATTTACATGTAAAAAAAAAAAAAAAAAAG